CCCCAAAACCCCAAAACCCCAAAACCCCAAAACCCCAAAACCCCAAAACCCCAGTAAAATCTGATTTTATTGAAATTATTTAAAGCCCTTCTTATTGCTTGTTGCCTGGATGTGCTAACTTTGGGTCTTTGAAGAGAGGTCATAAAGAGGTCAAACCTAGCTTTGATTAGAGTGTACTTGTTTGATGAGCTTGGTGTTTTGGGGATTTGTAGCAAGATTTTGATCGAAATAATCAACTGTTTTATCGATTTAGATGCTAGTTCTCCAATTCAGTATATTGGAAGATCCAGACTTAGGAATTAATGAAGGAAGTGAAGGTGTGTTCTCTAGGTATGACTCCGATAACTACCTGGATGGGTTTCAAAGCAAACTTGTACTTTTGATATCTTAGAAAGTCATTTCATACTGTAAATATTACCCTATTGGTAAATTAATCATGAATTATATCTTTGTTTTTAGCTTCTTCTAACTTATCACGATCAATTTGAATGTTTTCACAAAACAGTAAACCATGCTCGTTAAATCCAGGAGCATGCTCTAACTCGTCAGCTTCTTTGTTAGAATGATGAAGTGGTTCTCCAAGCATCGCAAGACTCCCGAGCATATCTTCAGCTCTATCTCTTTCTTCTTTAAGATCTTCCAGTCGATGGAACGAACTGAAATGAGCCAAATTATCAACTGAAAGATTGACAAACTCTTTAATATCCACTCACAGGCTGTCGAATTCAGCACATTTCTGTTCAAAATTAGGGTAGTCTGATATCTTGACTAGGTCTCCCATTTCCTTATCAATCTCAGCCATTAAGTCAAAGCTTTGGCTCAGATATTTAATAAGGTCATCTTCAGTATAATAATGGATCTTCTGGGTAGGCTGCATCAACTTCTCATCAACTTTCTCTGAACCATGAAAAGCTTGTTTTAGCTTTCTAATATTTTCTTGATTTTCGTTTAACAGATCAAAAAATAGATTTGCTTTAATTCGATTAGGGTATAGAAAATAGAATAGATCTATAATTTTGTAAAGAAATAAGCATCTAACTTTCAGGCATTCGAAGTTTAGATTTTCGAATATTGATTTCAGCTCTCACCAAATATTCAGAATCAACCTTTCCAAAAGTTTGGAGTAGAACGGGGTTTTGGGGTTTTGGGGTTTTGGGG